ATCGACTCTGTGGTGCATGGTGTGATTTCAGTGGAGGAGCATGGTCATGTTGGGTACAATGTCTGGTGATTGAGGTGGTGTTCGTATGTTAGAATCGGATCTCGTAGAAAAATTCCTGATGTTGGAATTTGGTTCTAAAGCTTGTTATCTAAGGTTATAGGGAGGATCTTCAGTTTGGCTCGAACTAATGTGCTCACATGGGTTATAATGGCATCGGTAGGTGCACGGGGTGTAAAACAGTGTTTTTGGACAATTTCGGAGCAGTTTTTGACACGTTCGAGGACGAACGTAGTTTAAATAGGGGAAAATTTAACGACCTGACGGTCGTTTTGAGCTCTAGCGCGTCGTTCGGTGGTTTGAGGCCTTGAGTAGTTTCACTCCATGTTTTGTGACTTGTACGCGTGGTCGAAATTTAATTTCAAGAAGTTTGGAGTTGACTCAGAAGGAAAATTCTAATTTCAGAAGCTTTAAGTTGGAAGAATTGAAAGATTTGACTTGTGAGTAAACGACCTCAGAATCGGGATTTGAAGATTTCAATAGGTTCGTATGATGATTTCGGACTTGGGCGTATGTTCGGGTTGAGTATGGGGTGGACCGGAAGCATTCGATGTTTAGTATGGAAGGTTGGCATTTTAGAAGTTTAAGAATTTCCTTAAGTTTGATTTAAAATGAATTTTGGTGTAATCGATGTCCGTTTGGAATTTCGAGCCTTGGAATAGGTTCGTATCATAATTTGTGACTTGCACGCAAAGTTTGGAGTCACTCCGGGATGTTTAAGTGTAATTCAGACGCGTTCGGCGAAGTTTGAAGGTTGGGAAGTTGAAAGAAAGGTTTTGGCCGTCGATTCGTAATATTGATTTTGTTTGTCGTGATTTGAGGCTTCGGCTAAGTCCGTATCGTATTTTGGGATGTGTCGATATGTTTGGACAGGGTCTCGGAAGCCTTGGGTGCGAATCAAATAGGAAACAGATCGAGTTTGGACTTGGAGGAATTGCTGAAGCTTAAGGTTTCTGGTGTGATCGCACCTGCGAGGTTATGGCCGCAGGTGCGAGTCTGCAGAAGCGACCCAGGGGTCACAGAAGCGGTTGGGATTGAGGCTGGTTGGATTCGCAGGTGCGAGGAATTTACCGCACCTGGGGGCTCGCAGATGCGGGCGGAGAAGCACATAAGCGGAAGTGGTCTGGATGGGAAGAGCATAAGTGCGGGTGTGGTAGCGCACCTGCGGAGCCGCAGGTGCGGTCATGGGCGCGCAGGTGCCGAGTGCTGCTCCAGCTAGGGAGTCCGCAAATGTGGAGAATTTCCGCAGAAGCGGATGTGCATCTGTGATTGAATGTCCGCAGAAGCGGAAAAAGCTGGCACCTTGGGGGAAGCCCCATCTTCGAGGTAGCTTCCATAGAAGTAGAGCCGCAGAAGCGCAAGGGATTCTGCAGGTGCAGAAAATCGACTAGGCAGATTGTTTAAAAATCGAGATTTCACTCATTTCACTCATTTCTATCTTGGTTTGGGTGATTTTTGGAGAGCTTCAAGGGGAGATTTTCATCATCTATGGCAAGGTAGGTTATTCCCACCTATTGTAAGTTAAATACATGGATTCTATAAGGATTTAAACATGAAAATTGGTAGAAATTGTGAGATTTTGGTAGAAAATTTAGAATTTGGTATTTTTGGACATGGAATTTGAAATAAATCATATATTTGAGTTCGTAATGTTGTAGGTGAAGTTTATCTTCAAAATATTTCGGAATCCGGGCGCGTGGGCCCGAGGGTTGACTTTATAGACTTTTTGAGCTGAGTTGAGAATTGTCATAAATTGATTAATTATGGGTATTAGAGTATATCTTTATTGGTTTGCACATTGTTTGACTAGTTTTGGATCGACGGGCATCAGTTTGAGGCGTTAGTGAGGTTTTGGAGCCGGTTATGGAACTTCGGGGCGAGGTAAGTCTCATGTCTATCTCTGTGAGGGGGAAACTACTCCTAGGTGATGTATTTGATATGTGCTACTTGTTGCAGGGGCTACGTACGCACGAGGCGACGAGAATCCGTACGTAGCTAGATTTATGTTATGTCCGGGTAGACTTAGGTTACCTCCATGCTATAACTGTACTGTTTGAGTTTGTCCCTTGCCTATTAAATTCCTTTATTTTATGTTACGACTTGAGACTAGACTTGGGTAGAGTGATAGACTTGCTATTTTAGAGATTTGGCGAGCTTCATGATTAGCCTGGGAATAATTATGCTCCTCTTACGAATTTCTCCCGCGCTATGCATTTCATCGAAAGATTTTCCTTAAAATTCATAGCTCACACGTTTATTCGTGAGTGTGGTCAATGACCCGTTAAAGCTTCGTATTCTAATGGGATCGGGCCGTTCGCCTCAACATGATTATGTACCACACTTTCTCATGGGAGCGGGCCGTTCGCCTCGGCAGTATAATAGATGCATCTATGGTTCGTGCCGTTCGACCCTCGGCAGTGCACGCAATATGATAGGATCGGGCAGTACGCCTCGGCATTTCTATAAAATACTTCTGTGAAGTCGTGCGTAATAGTTGACAAGAAGCCAGTGTATCTATGAGTTTTTTTGATTTGAATTATGACGACCTATCTGGTGAGGTCCATTGTATATACACTCCGGTTGAGGAAGTGACTGCTAATTGAGAGCTTGAGTTTATTGTTGAGAGGAGGATTGTACCACGTATTTATACTTGTTTATTTCGTTTATTTTCTCTGCCTCACGTCTGTTTACTTCCTACTATATTTGATTTATTGGACCACTAGTAAGTATCGTGTCAACCCCTCGTCACTACTTCTCTGGGGTTAGGCTAGATACTTACTGGGTACGCGTTGATTTACATACCCATGCTACAGTTGCTGCACTTATTATGCAGGTATATATATGTTTTCGGTATTCCTCTAGGTGCAGAGGCGCGGCTATTGCGAAGACTTTACAGTGAGCTTCATTCCATGTTACGATACACATCATACAAAGTTTCCATCAGAGTTATTTACATTCTCCTGTCTCAATTGTATTCCCGACGGATGTTGTATTTTTATTGTACTCCTTAGTAGATGCTCATGCACCTGTGACACCGGGTTTTGGAGGTTCTTACTGGTTGTTCATTATTGTAGTTCACGTAAATATCATCACTTTGCCCTGTAAATTCTATTTTATACTATCTAATTAATAAAAAATATGATTTTAAAAGTAATAAAAGTGAGTAATTAAGTTGATCAATCACCGTTGGCTTGCCTGACGGCGGCGTTAGAAGCCATCAGGATTTTGGGTCGTGACAGAGTCAGTGTGATGAATTTGAAAAAAAAGAAGAAAGAGGTCGGGTGCAAAGTTTTATTATTTAATTCGGATTTGGACTTATGAGTAGGTTGGATATCTAGAGATGGGTAAGTCATATAATTTGATATGTGGTTGACATAGGGTATTTTTAACAAAATTCAATAGCTTAGGGGCAGCTTTGGTCTTTTTCGGTTTGGTTTTAAATGGTCCATTAGTTTTTAGGGCATTTTTGGGCCTGAAGAAAATGAAAGGGGTATTTTTGGCTCAATAAATAGATGGAGAGCTTTTCTATACCAAATCTAATAGATTAGGGGTAATTTTTGCCCTTTTTTGATTCTTAAATTATTTGCTTAAGTTCTTCTAGATTCATATAACAGCTTGTTTGGATAGTTGTTATATATCGTTTCATAGTGTATTGTATCATATTGTATTGATTGTATGATACTGTATCATTTTGATATATACAATGCTTGGATAGATTGTATTATTTGATGTCGTTTCATAATGTCATGCACTAACATTATGAAGAATAAACTTATAATATTACAAAATAAAGTAAGATACGAGGCAGAATTATTATATAAAAAAGGATAAAAGATAAAATAAGATTATTTAATAATAAGGAAGGACAAGATGTAACCACACCAAATCGGTCGTTACAGCCTGATAGCATCTTTGCTAGTCTTGTCGGACTAGGAGCTCTACTAGGCTTGACTTAAAGTATCATTTTTTGTCGTTATGTAACGACTGATATAACGATACTATACAATAAAATTTAAGTAACAATCAAAACAAATATTGTGTTTAAAGTAATAATACGATACAAAATAACATGTAACAACCATCCAAATAAGTTGTAATTCTAAATCTCCAAATTTAATTTTTTATGTTTGGGTTTAGTCTGCATTTTGATATATTGGCTCAGTTGCGAAGCTAGAAATTTCCCTAAGGGTGTTTAGACTTGAAAGAAATAAAAATATTTCCAGATAAAGAGTGTTCAATATATATTATATACATCTAAAATTAATATTTTACTTATATACACAATAAAATTTTTTGTAATATTTCGATGATGGATTGATCACTCTTAGCAAAAGGTGGCTTCGCCCCTATGTTGGCTCCATTGCTTTGATTATAGGCCCCGTTTGTCCATAGATATATTTTCCCTATTTTCAATTTTTTTTTCAAAAACGTGTTTGTCCATGAAATTTTGGAAGTTTTTGAAAATTTTTCGAAAATGAGTTTTTTAAATACCAAAAAGTAATTTTGACCACTTTTTCAATATTTTCCGAAAATTTTATTTCTCCGCTCACGAAACTACAATATTTTTTCAAGTAAAATGAATGTCCAAATAAAATTTTAATTTTCAAATATCATTTTTCAACTTAGTTCCAAATACTACTTTTTCTTCAAAAATTATATTTATGTCCAAACGCCTATTAAATACGTTTGATATGTCATTTCAGATTCATTCCGTTGGATCAAGTCAACAACCCAGTCACAATCCATCGTTTAGACTTTAGACGAGTTGGGCTGAGTTATTAAAAATGAGTTAATATGTTACTTATCCTTAGCCAATGTGTCAAAAATTCTACTTTCTTTTTTAATATTGTTGTCTGTTATATGAAATGAAGCGGATGGAGTGCAATTGGTTAACATGGTCTATTTATTAGTTTATAACTTTCCCTTATATTTTCATACTAAAAGGAAGGGAAGCAAACAGCTCTAGCATTTCTTTAACCTGCCCTCCAGATTTACTAATTGTTGATGAACTGGAAATATTACAATTTACATCCACCAGGCAGAGCATCCGCAGAAAAGTTAAAACAAATACTGTAAAACGAGAAGAAAAGAAAAAATATAAAAAAGCCTACTAGTTGATGTACAGAGGGACTCCCTTTCTGAATTATTAACCTTTTCTGGCGAATTACGTATGATCTTCGGCAAACCTCACCCCTCCTTTACCTTCATGTCCATTGTTAGATGGCATAGTACTCGTTGGAATGAAATCTCCATTTGAGGCAGCAACTTTAGAAGTTGCAATTCTCTTTTCTATGTCATCTTCTCTTGGATGGATGTCATGGCTCTGCTCAACCTCTCTCTGTTTTGGTGAGTGACTACCATTGCTTTTTTTGTTACAAATGCGTCCAATTAAGCAAGCAAGGACAGATATAACCAAAACCACAGCGAGAATAATGAATACTGTGCCAAATGATCCATTTGAATGAGAAGAAGATTGAGTAATTGGGGTATTTTTAGGCTGAATAGGCATATCATTAGGAAAACCCTGAACTGGCTGCTGTTGCTCAGACATTTTCCTGGGATTTTGGGTGGAAAATGCTGGCTTATTAATGAACTTGGTTAGGATTTTAGGCTAGAATCTTGTGTGTTCCTTGAGTGAAACCAAAGGTAGATTTAGGATAAGTAATGGAAGGAAGTAATTAGCTTTAGAGAGTGCATGTTGGATGGTTGCATTCTAAGGTATGAATCTTTGAGGGGGTTTTTAAATTCAAAAAAGGAGAAGCGCTTTCTTTAATACAAAGATAACTACATATAAAGATATTCTTGATATCCCTTACTGCAGGAAGGCATTTTTGTTGCTTTGTAAAGAGTGTAAGATGTTGGCTTCCTCTTTGAACCCTTTCTTAATGTGGATTCTCAAGGCCCCAAGTGTCTTCCAATAACTTCTTTCACTTTTTACTATTATAGTAATTAATGTATAAGAGATCCATCAATTTCAATTTATGTGACTGTAATTTGATTCGGTATTGTGTTTAAGATAATTTGTGGTATTAAATGTGCCATAATATTGGTGCGGTATAAAAGCTTCTCATTAAATTAAGATGGATAAAATAAAAAAATTTGAAGTTAAATTATTTTTAAATTAAAAAATATATATTCTTTTTCAAATGGACTAACAAGGAAAATGTGATATATGAATTGAAATTGAGAGAATATTAGAATAGTACATCTGATGCTCTCTGTATATGACACAGAAATGTGCCATTTCGCTTCGACTAACATACGATACAAGTTCTAGACTAACACATGATAACACATAACGTAATCAAGACCTCACATCACACAATGCACATGACCCTAGTCGGGACGGTTTCTTTCCAACTCTCGAGTTAAAGCTAATAAACACATAGTTAAAAAATATTAAGCAATAAGCACTACATGAACTACGAGTCAAGAAATTAAGAGACACATACATACTATTCAATCTATTTATGACATCAATTTCATCAAAATATGTCGGAAAGAGTAACATGCATGTTAAGGCCTAACTGTGCTAGCATCAAATTGGTCAAAAGGCACATAGGAGCACTCAAGTTTTCTTCCTTCACTTCTATTCTAAAAATAAATTACAGATTCAAGTTACATCCCATGAAAAAGAACCTAAGCACAAAGAAAAATCACATAGGATTATTACTACATAAGAAAGATAAAAAGACATATTTCTTTTTAGTTTAGACTTTAATCCCTCAAGACAATTGTCTAGGAGATCCATCATCGGGAAAAGTCTAATTTTTTCTTCTTTTGTTTCAATTTTTTTTCCAATTAAACTAGCACAATAAGATAGCATAGAAAATCATCCGAACAATTTTTTCACCCACGCTTAAAATTGTGCATTGTCCCCAATACATACCGTAAATAATAGAAGGGTAAAAATAATTCCCTGGTAGGCCAAAGGCTGAAGCATTAGTAGCTCATGAAGTACTTATACTTCTCCCAAACTTGGTCCTTTGTGCGGGCACCCCACACTTAGTTCTAACCGTATGGCTTGCTTTTGCTTCCTTCCAATAGCTTTGCTTTCCATGCTCCTAGAAAATCGAAATCGACACTAGCAACAATAACACAATAAGAAGAAATAATTAAGAAACTCTAAAAATAAAAGAAAGCAATAAAATTGGGTTGCTTCCCAACCAACGCCTAATTTACCGTTGCGGAATGATGTGACCCATTTTTTTGCTTCCAGTTCAAACTTATGAATTGAATCCAAAGTTTTGATTCTGCTATATGATCATGCTCTTGGGGCGATACAGATTGTTGCAAGCTAAAAATTAAATAATTCTTTATGCACTTGTTGGTTTTCAGCTGAGGAGAGTCACTTGGCCTAGACGACTTGGAAAACTTTAGAATATAAGGCTCATCTACCACTTCCCTTGATTCCTTTATATGCTCATAAGGATACATTCTTATTTTACCATCAGAACACAAGGTAGAGAAGTGTTTGTAATGAGGTCTAACATACTCACAAACATGAACTTTGAGATTTTCAACATCCCCTACGCTAATGACATTAGAGTCAACTAAATATATATTATCAATGTCCCTGGTTGACTCTAGTATTACTTCTACAATATCGGCATCCTCAAATTCTAGTTGGCTAGGTTGTTGGTGTTCTACTCTGGCCTCCTAGATCAGAGTGTCAACTACTGTATCATATTATTTTTGGATACTATCCACAATATTGACATGTTGAACATTCAAAACTTCCACCACTTGACTGACTTTAGCCTTCAAGTTGTGAATAGTTACCTCATGCCTTTGTATCTATATTATGTCTCATTATTTGTTACACAAGACACATTAACATCTCTTTGATTTCCTTTAGGTCAGCATCGCCTGGTTCTTTATTCCTATTAGCTTCACAAGAAAAAGTAGAACCATCATAATAAGAGGCTGTGTGAGGATAACAAATATAAATGCAATTATAAAAGTGACCATTTTGACAATCACACACATTTCACACATATGATTGAATTGGTGCACATAATTTGAATAATTTTTTCACGGGTTATTTCCTCCACAATAAGTTTTAGGAAGATCAAAATTAAAACTATCAATATCCAAACTCCCATAATTCCAAGATGCCATATTTATCATATCACAAATAAAATAAAATAAATGTTTAAACTTGAACCCTAGCGATATTTACACCTACTGCTACACCGTTAGTTCTACGGCAACTGCGCCAAAATTTGGTCACTCCCAACTATGTCTTATAAAAAGGACTAAGCAATCGTTGCAAGTATAATTCAGTCTAAAAGTTTGAAATCGAATCACACAGAGAACTAAAATTTTTCTACAACTGTTTGCTATTACTAAGAAGACAAGTTTGAACAAATTCTGAAGTATATATAGTAAGATTCTTATGTCTAACTAATTAACTAACAAATTAAAGTAGTAAATTATCAACTTAATATACTAAGGGTTGGAGACAAGATTAAGGAAGCCTAGAGTTATGTACTTTCCAATTGTCGGAATCCTTCCTGCTACGTCTCCTATAATTTCGCCTATGTATTCTCTACTTATTGTAAGCACTTTAGGTGTTGTCATTCTCTTCTGAAAAACTACAAAGACATATTCTCCCGAATTACACTAGCTAGCACTATCTTACCGCTCACTATCACCATGTCAAGGCTTTGTTATTCCTTAATTGTGACGAACCGATAGGTCGTTTTGAGTATAGCCTCTATTTCAATATTCTGAGACCTCTTTTAGATTCATTTGATGTTTCTTGATTTTCGTGTGTGGTCCGTGTCATTTTTCAGAAAGGTTTTACGTGAAAATTTCAAGAAAAAGTAATTTTTGGCTTAAATGCGACTTGAACTGACCACGGACAATATTCTTGGTAAACGATCTCGGATCGATGTTTTGAAGATTCCAGTAGGTTCATATGACGTTATTGGACTACGCACTTTTGATTGGAGTCCGGGGTGACCCGAGCGCATTTCGGCTCGTTATGTGAAAAATTGTGCAAATGAGTTTTCAAGTTGAAAATCATAAGTTTTGATGATCGATTCTTGTTATTTTGATGATTTGAGGTAGCGATCAAGTTTATATGATGTTATTACACTTTTGTGCATGTTTGGTTTGGAGCCCGAGGGGTTCGGGTGAGTAACAGAAGAGTTTGGATGGTTTGAAGATAGCTGGTGCAATGCATTTGTTCGTGTTCAGTTGTTGATCTCGCATTTGCGAGATCTGGATAGCATTTGCGATCTTCGCTTTTGCGGTCAATTGATCGCATTTGCAATGCTGGGCTAGTGGGCTGGAACTTCGCTTTTGCAAAGAAAAGTTAGCATTTGCGAACTAAGCTGAGACCACATTTATGATATCAGAGTCGCATTTGCGACACAGTGTCCTGGGGGTGAGCTTCGTATATGCGAAGTGTTTGTCCTCATTTATGATGGAAGGTAGTTTGTATTTGCGAACAAAGTGTCACATTTGTGACTTACCTGGGTCTGATGCACTGATCGCATTTGCAATCAGTGTATCACATATGCGAGTTCGCAATGCGATACCTGCAGCTGGGTAAAAAAGGGAAAAAATGGGACATAGCTCATTTTACACCATTTCTCAATCCTAAACACTTTAGAGGCAATTTTTGAAGAACCTTTTCTTCCCAAATTTATTGGTAAGCAACTCTAATACACTTTCTTTCAATTCCTCATTACTTTTCATGTATTTTTAACATCAAATCTAGTATTTTCATGGCAGAAATTAGGGATTTGGATATAATTTGGGAATTTTATAAAATTGAGATTTAGACCTCAAATTAAGGTCGGATTTTAAAAATAATCACATAACCGCTCTCGTAGGTGAATGGATAATCGAATTTTGGTGCAGATCTCGGATTTTGACCAACCGAGCCCGGGATTGACTTTTGTTGACCTTTTTAATTTCATCAAAGATTGAACCTATTTCATTCGCGGGTAGTTTCTAAAGCTTATTTTGAATTGTTTGATTGATAATTGGCTAGATTCAGTTGGTTTGGAGGCTTGTTCGAAAGGCAAGGCTGCGGTTGGTTGATGATTTGGTTGCGGAGTGAGATAAGTGTCGTGTCTAACTTTGACTTGATGGAATTAGTACTTGTTGGTCAATTTGTTATGTGAATTATGTGGAAAAACGACGTATATACGAGGTGACAAGTGTATATACACCGTTATAGGATTAAAGCATGCGGGATTGGGCTATTTACCTCCATGTCTTCATTTATTCTATGATATTTCTTGTTATATGCTTTAATTGGTACATATTCTTAATTGTTATCTATTCTTTACTTGTTATTCGTTATTTTATTGTTACTTGTTTCGATTTGCTCATTTCTCACTCAATATCTGCTTACATGCTACATGTACCTACTTTCCTTAATTGTATATTTTTATGGTCACACGTTTTTACTTGCATTTATTGTCCTTATATTACTTGATGCACTCTATTATGTCATTAGAATATGTGGTCCATTTAGTCTAGGTTTCAGATTACGAGGTATTAGATATTCTTCGTTTGTACTGGTAGTTCTTTAATGTTCCGCACGTTTCATTTCTCTTTTGTATTGAGATTACGTAATTGGTTGTGTTGAGTTGTTTATGTTAATTAGTTGATGTTGGGAATAGGTTGCGCGTTGCAATGGTATTGAAATGAATTGATATTGGGATCGATTTGCATG